GCATCCTGACCAAGTTTGATGATGATTGAGGCAAAAATGTAACCGCTAGTGTGTTAACAAAGTTTTTCTATTTTTAACTCCGGTGACCTACTTTTTCATCCGAGATGACCCACGTTCGAACTCATCCGAGCTATCACCTAGACAAGCATCCTGACCAAGTTTGATGATGATTGAGGCAAAAATGTGACCTCTAGATGTTAACAAGTTTTTTCTATTTTTTTAGCTCAGAAGACCTATTTTTTCATCCAGGATTACCCATGTTCGAACTCATCCAAGCTATCACCTAGACAAGCATCTTGACCAAGTTTGATGATGATTGATGCAAAATGTGACCGCTAGAGTGTTAACAAGGTTTTTATTTTTAGCTCCAGTGACATACGTTTTTCATCCAAGATGACCCATGTTCGAACTCATCCGAGCTTCTACCTAGACAAGCTTCCTGAAAAAGTTTGATGATGATTGATGCCAAAATGTGACCGCTAGAGTGTTAACAAGGTTTTTCTATTTTTAGCTCTTGTGACCTAGTTTTTCATCCGAGATGACCCATGTTCAAACTCAATCCAAGCTATCACCTAGACAAACATCCTGACCAAGTTTGATGATGATTGAGGCAAAATTGTGACCTCTAGAGTGTTAACAAGGTTTTTCTATTTTTAGCTCTTGTGACCTAGTTTTTCATCCGAGATGACCCATGTTCGAACTCATCCTAGCTATCAACTAGATAAGCATCCTGACCAAGTTTGATGATGATTGAGGCAAAATTGTGACAGCTGGAGTGTTAACAAGGTTTTTCTATTTTTAGCTCCAGTGACCCATGTTCGAACTCATCCGAGCTATTACCTAGACAAGCATCCTGACCAAGTTTGATGATGATTGATGCAAAAATGTGACCGCTAGAGTGTTAACAAGGTTTTTCTATTTTTAGCTCCGGTGACCTAGTTTTTCATCCGAGATGACCCATGTTCGAACTCATCCGAGCTATCACCTAGACAAACATCCTAACCAAGTTTGATGATGATTGAGGCAAAAATGTGACCTCTAGAGTGTTAACAAGGTTTTTCTATTTTTAGCTCTTGTGACCTAATTTTTCATCCGAGATGACCCATGTTCGAACTCATCCGAGCTATCAGCTAGATAAGCATCCTGACCAAGTTTGATGAAGATTGAGGCAAAAATGCGACCGCTAGAGTGTTTATAAACAACAAAATGTGAACGGACGACGGACGGACGACGGACAATCATCGATCCTAAAAGCTCACCCTGAGCATGCTCAGGTGAGCTAAAAAATCACTGTCAATTACTATAGCATCCTTATTTCAAGAGTTATAAACAAAATAATCTGTAAAAAAACATTAACCATCTTAAAATAATGCTGACGATCAACCTTGATCAATGCTATGTTTTGACAGCTGTGTAATACCGGATGTATCACCAAGTCAACTAATCAAATGACCCCTCGCTAATTTGAATAAATTCCATTGCACAGCGTGATATACCGTTCTCCTGGATTTTATTGGTTAATTTACATTTACACAAAAATAATGACATTAATCCATCCAAAAACTTTCTTTAACAAATTCAGTTTCACACTGTATATAAAGGCGATCAATATAAACACCTTTTCTGGCCATTGTAGGTAGCTTCATATACATTGTTTCAAGTCTTACATGATTTCCCTGAACATGCCTTTCAACGGCGTCAAATTAAAACACAAATTTCCATTTAATTATTCATATAAATGACACAGGAAGACTGATATTGTAAACATAAAATATTGGTTAGGTATTTTCCACACCGCCGACCTCTAAAATTAACTTTCACATGGAATTAAATATGTTTTCAGAATATGAATGGTTGTGTAACAGTGGTGAAGTGTTTGTTGATCGAGACTATCAATTCTTCATCTGTGCTGGTAGATTTGTACATTTGGAAGTTGTTTCAGTGTGGAGAGAGATGGACACGGTCAGTATGCAATTAGATAGGAATTATCTATTTTAGCTAGTCTATAATTAGGTAGACTAGAATATCTGCGGTTCTACCCATAATTTTACCTGCCCTTGTCTGTCCATTTTGGGGCATATTTTTTCTGCCAATAAAGGTGGAGAGTCGCCATATGACTTGAGAACCAACAAAACAAATGTGATTTGTTTATTTAAAAAGACTTTGTTCAACATATATGATTGGAGGCAAATTTGCAAGAATGGCATGAAACATGGCGATGATGGATGGATGTGTGGATCGTTAAAGCCCAACAGTGACAGAGTATTGGAGTACTTGACGTGCATTGTGAAAGTTGATCGAGACTATCAATTCTTCGAGAGTCCCAGTGCCTATATACTCGCAAGAAGGATATGGTATGAAATACAGCTTGGTACACATCTGTGCTGGTAGATTTGTACATTTGGAAGTTGTTTCAGTGTGGAGAGAGATGGACACGGTGTATTGTACGGTAAACCTTGCTCTTTGATTTCATTGGTAAATCTATTTTAGCTAGTCTACAACTAGGTAAAGCTAGTCTATAACTAGGTAAAGCTGGAACGTCGCCATATGACCTATACTGTGTCGGAACGTCGCCATATGACCTATACTGTGTCGGTGTGACGTAAAGCCCATTCAAACAAACAAACAAAACCTGCCCTTGTCTGTCCATTTTGGGGAATATTTTTTCTGCCAATAAAGGTGGGGAGATGTCATATGACTTAAGAACCAACAAAACAAATGTGATTTGTTTAGTTAAAAAGACTTTGTTCAACATATAATATATGATTGGAATGTTGTTTTGTTAACCCCAGTGAAATTTCAGTTAATCTTAAGACCAAGGAGGCAGATTTGCAAGAATGGCATGAAACATGGTGATGATGGATGGACGTGTGGATCGTTAAAGCCCAACAGTGACAGAGTATTGGAGTACTTGACGTGCATTGTGAAAGTTGATCGAGACTATCAATTCTTCGAGAGTCCCAGTGCCTATATACTCGCAAGAAGGATATGGTATGAAATACAGCTTGGTACACATCTGTGCTGGTAGATTTGTACATTTGGAAGTTGTTTCAGTGTGGAGAGAGATGGACACGGTGTATTGTACGGTAAACCTTGCTCTTTGATTTCATTGGTAAATCTATAAATATCTATTTTAACTAGTCTTCAACTAGGTAAAGCTAGTCTATAACTAGGTAAAGCTGGAACGTCGTCATATGAAGTAGTATAGGGGCCGGTTTAGGGCCAAGACTGCGCATGCGCGGCGGCCATTTTGTTTCTATAAATAGGTTCTTATTTGCATAGAAGAAATGACCTCACTACACAGGCGCGGCGGCCATGTTGAATAACAGACGCGCGACGCCATATTTGATTCTATTTTAAGAATGACATCATCGTTCTATTTTAAGAATGTGATCATCCGTCTATTTTTATAAATTTATTTTTAATCTCCCGGAAGTATACGGAGCTGACTCGTATACACGATTTAGGGCTTGAATCGCGGACATTGAGGGTCAGGTCCTCGGCCCTTGACGGAGAGATAATTACCATTATGACAGATAAAAGAAATGTTTGTAAATAGATACGTACTTAACATTTTAATTTATAAAAAATAGTTTTTTAATAGGTTCAAAATAATATTGATACAAATATAACTCGTTTACTTACCTACATTTAGTAAGGAAATGACTGTCATAGCGTAACGTTCTTGTAGACTGCGCATGATCTATTTTTAGTCGCGGTATTTCACAACCACCAGGAGCTATTTCATCAGCCCCACGCGGGTGTCAATGAAAGAAAAAGGCATTAAGTACAGTCGCCGCTCAGTCTAGATTTCACAATACCTAGCGGCACTATGTTGAACAAAAACCCTTTATCCTTCGTTACTAAAATATAACTTTTCATTAATCACAAAAGAATCTATTATCCTTTCAAACGCAGCGACCGTCAAGTACAGTCGCCACTTAGTCTAGATTTACAATACCTAGCGGAACTATGTTGAACAAAAACCCTTTATCCTTCGTTACTAAATATAGCTTTTCATTAATCACAAAAGATTAATAGAATTGACGGACCTTTTCTGTTACGGTTGATAAACCGGAGGGGATGAATTAATTGAAATATGGACCAATGAAGATGGTTTATTTTTACAACGCATCAATGATAGACCTGACAGAATGCTTCAAAATAAACCCTAGGTTCTCGATTCGATTTTTAGCCGTTCTCGAGTTATGGCCAATTAGCGATTTTTAAACCAATTTTTCAAAGTTCATAAAACCCTTAGATTTATACGCCGTTTGAAAGATCTCTGCGAGTAGATACATAAAATGTATTATTATATGGATCTACCTTTTACCGTTTCTGAGATAGGAGAGTTTGAATATGGCAGACAAAATCACTCACGCGTATAAGTACGTATAACCTTTTTGTTACTGGACATAACATAGGCATGTTGCATATGAAACGAAAGGTCTTGACAAATGCTACAAGCTTGTACTGTCAAACCCAGAGTGAAATCACTCATGCGTAAAGAACATTAAAAGAACTAAAATAAGCTTACCCCAGTCTTTACTCCTCGCCTATCAAACTATTTATGACAATTTACGACAGGTTTAAACCGGTATTGCTATTTTTGATCAGCCAATGAAATTGAAAACGATGACGTCTAACAATAGACAGCCTCGTTTTGAACCCACTCTTTTTCATTAACCAATGAAAAGTGGAGAAGAATGACTGGATAAAATTTTGACATAAAAAACGCCTTTTTGTCTTTTATGCAACACTTTACGATATCGATTTTCAAGATGTTTGTTTCATTTAATAGACCTTACCAAATGCTTCAAAATAAACCCTAGTTTCTCGATTCGATTTTAAGCCGTTCTCGAGTAATGGCCCTTTAGCGATTTTTAAACCATTTTTTCAAAGTCCATAAAACCCTTATATTAATGTACCAATGGAAAGATCTCTGCGAGTAGATACAGAAAATGTATTATTATATGGTTCTATTTCTTACCGTTTCTGAGATAGGAGAGTTTGAATATGGCAGACAAAATCACTCATGCATATAAATACGTATAACGTTAATGTTACTGGACATAACATAGGCATGTTGCATATCAAACGAAAGGTCTTGACAAATGCTACGAGCTCGTACTGTTAAACCGAAAGTGAAATCACTCATGCGTAAAAAACATTAAAATAACTAAAATAAGCTTACCCCAGTCTTTACTCCTCGCCTATCAAGCTATTTATGACAAGTTACGGCAGGTTTAAACCGGTATTGCTATTTTTGATCAGCCAATGAAATTGAAAAACGATGACGTATTACAATAGACAGCCTCGTTTTGAACCCACTCTTTTTCATTAACCAATGAAAAGTGGAGAAGGATGACTGGGTAAATTTTGACATAAAAAACGCCTTTTTGTCTTTTATGCAACACTTTACAATATCGATTTTCAAGATATTTGTTTCATTTGATAGACCTTACCAAATGCTTAAAAAAAAAACCCCTAGGTTCTCGATTCGATTTTAAGCTGTTCTCGAGTTATGGCCCTTTAGCGATTTTTAAACCAATTTTCAAAGTCCATAAAACCGTGAAATGTATATGCCGTTTGAAAGATCTTTGCGAGCAGATACAGGAAATGTATTATTATATGGATCTATCTCTTACCGTTTCTGAGATAGGAGAGTTTGTATATGGCAGACAAAATCACTCATGCGGAAAAACGCGCATAACTTTTTCGTATATGAACGAAACATAGTCTAGTTTGGTATCAAATTGAAGGTCTTGACGAGTACATTTACTTACGCGATCAAACCGGATGTTAAGTCACTCGTGCGTGAAATTCATTTATTCTCCCCAACCAACGGACCGATCTTATCAATACCTGTATCGAACGAAAGGTATTACTCACTAAATTCAGAAAATGTATATTTTTGTATCGCTGACTCGGATAGGGCACGAGATATGAAGTAAAATCACTCAAGCGTAAAATGTGGATTGACGCCTTCCTAAGTCATTATAACCCGGTCATGTTTGGTATCGTACGAAATGTTTTAAGGTGCTCTTATTGAATACGGACTAAAATCACTAGTGCATAAACGCTCTATTTCTATAAAACATTCTTCATTGAAAATATTGTACTTGAAATATAAACTCAACCTACTGCGTAATGATGTTTACTCTTTGACGTCCAATCACCAAATGACTGAAGTCACCACTGCGATACATTATGCGCATGCGCTGATCTAAATTTAGAAATGACATTGTCCAATCTAACAGCAGTTAACTCTTTTCTTACGGACTGAATGTAACCAATCAGACAGAAGATTCATTTGACCAATGATTTTGGTCACGTGACTATTTATAACATAAATAGATGAATAACGTCATGCCAAAAATAGCAGCCAATCAGATTTTAATACGTGTGTATAAAAAAAGAATGTTTTTCTGCGTTTCCTATATCACTGGAAACAGGATTTGTCTTCTATTTATCTCCTGCTCCACCACCACCACCGCCGCCGCCGCCGCCGCCGCCGCCGCCGCCACCGCCGTCACCGCCACCGCCGCCGCCGCCGCCGCCACCGTCATCACCACCACCACCGCCGCGGCGGCGGCGGCGGCGGCGGCGGCGGTGGTGGTGGTGCTGGAGCAGGAGATAAATAGAAGACAAATCCTGTTTCCAGTGATAAAGTATACGCAGAAAAACATTCTTTTTTTATACACACGTATTAAAATCTGATTGGCTGCTATTTTTGGCATGACGTTATTCATCTATTTATGTTATAAATAGTCACGTGACCAAAATCATTGGTCAAATGAATCTTCTGTCTGATTGGTTACATTCAGTCCGTAAGAAAAGAGTTACTGCTGTTAGATTGGACAATGTCATTTCTAAATTTAGATCAGCGCATGCGCATAATGTATCGCAGTGGTGACTTCAGTCATTTGGTGATTGGACGTCAAAGAGTAAACATCATTACGCAGTAAGTTGAGTTTATATTTCAAGTACAGTATTTTCAATGAAGAATGTTTAATAGAAATAGAGCGTTTATGCACTAGTGATTTTTAGTCCGTATTCATAAAGAGCACCTTAAAACATTTCGTACGATACCAAACATGACCGGGTTATATTGACTAAGGAAGGCGTCAATCCACATTTTACGCTTGAGTGATTTTACTTCATATCTCGTGCCCTATCCGAGTCAGCGATACAAAAATATACATTTTCTGAATTTAGTGAGTAATACCTTTCGTTCGATACAGGTATTGATAAGATCGGTCCGTTGGTTGGGGAGAATAAATGAATTTCACGCACGAGTGACTTAACATACGGTTTGATCGCGTAAGTAAAATGTACTCGTCAAGACCTTCAATTTGATACCAAACTAGACTATGTTTCGTTCATATACGAAAAAGTTATGCGCGTTTTTCCGCATGAGTGATTTTGTCTGCCATATACAAACTCTCCTATCTCAGAAACGGTAAGAGATAGATCCATATAATAATACATTTCCTGTATCTGCTCGCAGAGATCTTTCAAACGGCATATACATTTCACGGTTTTATGGACTTTGAAAATTGGTTTAAAAATCGCTAAAGGGCCATAACTCGAGAACAGCTTAAAATCGAATCGAGAACCTAGGGTTTATTTTGAAGCATTTGGTAAGGTCTATCAAATGAAACAAATATCTTGAAAATCGATATTGTAAAGTGTTGCATAAAAGACAAAAAGGCGTTTTTTATGTCAAAATTTACCCAGTCATCCTTCTCCACTTTTCATTGGTTAATGAAAAAGAGTGGGTTCAAAACGAGGCTGTCTATTGTAATACGTCATCGTTTTTCAATTTCATTGGCTGATCAAAAATAGCAATACCGGTTTAAACCTGCCGTAACTTGTCATAAATAGCTTGATAGGCGAGGAGTAAAGACTGGGGTAAGCTTATTTTAGTTATTTTAATGTTTTTTACGCATGAGTGATTTCACTTTCGGTTTAACAGTACGAGCTCGTAGCATTTGTCAAGCCCTTTCGTTTGATATGCAACATGCCTATGTTATGTCCACTAACAAAAACGTTATACGTATTTATATGCATGAGTGATTTTGTC